ATTTCCCCGCTCTAAAAACTGCAGGTGGTCGAACGGGAGAGCCGCCAACAATTTCAGCTATCGAAAATATTGAAGTAGCTGCATAGGACTTTGGTTGCGCTGCCAAGAAAGGGGTGGGGGGAAGCAACGACGCAGTTCTCCCCCCTCGCTGGAGATTCCCCACAGTACGACAGGTACCTGGTAGGAGCGTCCAGTGTCCTTCAGCAAAACTTGAACAGGCAACCTTGTGAATACATGTGAGTTCCTATCACTAAAGTGACTCCGTTACATCACTTCGTGGCTTTACAAGAGTTACAGGTATTATGCAATTGAGCCTACTCGCCAACATGGATCACCAAAAAGACCTAGCGAAAATGGAAAATGCCCCCTCAAGCTGAAAAGCGCCCAAATTTATCAGAGAATAATAAGTACCACCAGGCTAGATTTTGCAAGCACACAATCACGGCTGAAAACGAGTCTCGTGCATCAAGAAAGTACCCTATTTCCCTAAACGGCATATAACCTTGCGTGACTCTATCTCCTACAGTGAAAGTAGGGAGTCTCCCGAAGGGAGCGTGTAGGTGTCTTGGTCGCTAATGAAAAGCGAGTCGTATTGAGAAAGACTGTAAATTTTTGACCCTTTTCTGTCTTCTAGGATTCCCAATGGGGGTTTTCGGTAGTACAGTCAGAGACTTCAATAATTCTTTCAAATGAAAAAGCGAAACAAGGACGCAACCTATGTCTGCACCAAGGTTGACCTCCTTGTGTCCACTGCATTCTCCATGTGTTGTCTTCATTTCGGAATCTTCTGACCTGCAACTTGTATTTCAGTACTCTAAGTGTTCAGCCATATTTGTCTATTCACTTACATTGAAACTCAGTGTCGCCTTTGATAATGTGGGTTTGGAAGCAGCTGAATGACAGCTTATCACCTTCTAGATAGGCTGGCTCTCCACTCGATGGTCCCTTGATTAAATACTCCGGGTATTCGATATTCATCGCTCCACACGAGTTGTCTGAAAGACAACAGCTGATAGGCTATCCTGTACAATTTCGAAATTGACCACCATCAAACCATGAAACAAATCGAAAAAAAACTTGGATAACTGAAAAACTAAACTAAAGGGGTATGTGACAAGAGAATCGTAATTCACCGCGCTGGTGGGCGTCGCGTGCGACGTCGCGCCCGCAAATGACGATGGTTCCAGGTAGTAGATGGCGACAACAGGCAATTCAGAACCGAAAATAGTCATGAATGTCTACGATGACGGGTCTACATGAAGTCCGGTGCTCCAATCGACAGGTTAACACGAGTTAAGAAAACGCCGCGCCCATCGCCGGTGCCGCTCGGCGGTGCGGCAAATCACGATTTCTTGCCCCTCTCCCAAATTGAAAGAACTTAGATAAATTGAAAAAAATCCGTGCTTCGTGGGCATTGGGTAAAATCGATTTGGAAAGTATGCATTGAGGCAATGCATAAAAGCGGTGCATCGCTCGCAATGCACAGGCCGTTGATCATGCGCGAAGGCACTTTTGGAGGGACGCATCAATGATGAAGAATGGCATGCACGTAAAAGTGACTCCGGCCATACATTAAACGCTGAATGTGCTTTGAACTCATTGTCAGACCCCACGCCCTCCCAAAGGTGAACAGACGGAAAAGGGTAAATTTGTGCTTCCTGAAACCTGCTAAGGATGTTCATGAACATTTTTATCCGCTGCTCTAATGAGATGTGCTATTACTTCAAGTGCTCGCTACACTTATCGATGTCCACCTATGACCGAATCTTCTTTACTTGCCAGAAATATCAAACTGTGCAACGATAGTAACATGTTAAATTAGTAGTTGGCCTTTAAGACTTCCAATAAAGGAAATTCGTAAAAAAGGACGTACATCGAGCAGCTCCCTCTATCCGTTGACTGAGGTAGTAATTATAAGACATCCGTGCTTCGTCACCGAGCAAGCGAGCCTCAAAATGTTAATCTCAAAGAGCTCTCAAAGAGACCTGAGACGACAATGGGTAAATAAGTGTACCTGTAACATGACAGAGTCATAGAGGCAAGCAACGTCGTTCCCACAATCAGACTCAAGCGATGCTAGGTCAGTCGGACAGCGCAAGTACAGCTGCCTTTCTTCCGGAAACTCATAATCGGGATCTCCTGAACAGCGTATTGAGTAGTAACTTTCTAGAATCGTGTAGCCATTAAACTAAGGAATTTGTACACCAGATCCTGCACAAATGACCTTTATGTGTATTCTGAGGTAGTCACATTGTTGCAAAGAGGCTCTGTAAGCGGCACGAGCACGCTCGCACGAGAATCTAATTAATTTCACTACTTTACTTCTAAATGCATTCATAGTGTTGTTTTCCGAATGGGACTCTGAGCATCATACATAGAGTACATAAGCACATGTACTGAAACACATAATTCAAGTCTCGCTACTGTGCAATTAAAAAAAAGTGACAAAAAAGAAGGATTGATGGTACGGATATCACCCACTATATATAATTTGCTTCGTTTGTTTTTGTTTGTTTGTTTGTTTGTTTGTCCGGAAATTCGGTTCTACCAGAAGAACAACTTGGAGAGGTGGGGTCAAGGTCGGGATGGGTAGGGCATGTGACAAGATGTAAAGAGCAAGTGACCATGGTGAGCCCCGTCCACAGTGGCGCGATAGTTAACAAGTTTAGGGCGGTCGCCACTGAAAAAACTGCATAAATCAACTCCGGGCACGATGCTGGCGAAGTGGCTACAGCAAGGGCGTTTTTCACCCATCACTGGAATAGAGGCGCACCCGAAATGGGCGCGGTGCGTCACCTACAAATGTCGGCAACTCCGGTCCACCGAGAAGAGTTCAGAGATCGCAAAAAAGTCCATGACGAAGACAAACATCTAGCGAGAGTCCGTCATATCTGCGGTGTGCTGTGCTCCACCCACAGTGGGCACAGCTTGCCCTAGAACGCACGATACTCATTTCAAAAGTTTTTAGCTCGCTTCCAGAACACTCCAGAAAGCGGAAAAAAGGGGGCCAAGGCCAGCGAGGGCTGGCCGATTGTGAAGTGTGTGGCGCACATGTTGTGGGCGGGGTCTCCTCTGATGTGGGCGGAGCCAGACAAAAAGTCTGTAAAACGGTTCCAGAGCACTGCAGAGACCGGAAAAAAGTGGATTAAGGTTAGCCAAGAGTTCTCGGTCGAGAAGTATGGCGCACACATATCGTGGGCGAGGTCTCCTCTGATGTGGGCGGAGCCAGAAAAAGTCTCTAAAACAATTCCAGAGCACTGCAGAAAGCGGAAAAAAGTGGATTAAGGTTAGCCAAGGGTCGTCGGTTGAGAAGTTTGCGGTACTCATATCGTGGGCGGGGTCCTCTGATGTGGGCGGAGCCAGACAAAAAGTCTGTAAAACGGTTCCAGAGATGTCGTTATCGTTCCACACCCATCATCGTGATAGCTATTTACAGCTGTCGTGCAGTCCTAGGTGTAGGTGACGTGAATCTGAGTCTCACTCCATCGGCAGTCATACACTTAATCATCGGTCGCTGCAGATACAGTTGGTACGAGTCGGCTGGCCGCCTGACGCCGGCGCATCTCTTTCTGGGATATGGGCGGCATGGTCAGGCGAGCGCAGTTTCGATGCGATCCTTCTTTTGTTTTGTCAGAGTACTTGATTAATGCCTGACTATTCTCTCAACTGTGCTCCTGCTCGACGCTCCTTACCACTATTACATAAATTTACTTGGACATGCGTACAGATGAGAGAGGAACAAGTTTTAGTCGAGCATTGCAGCACAACGAAAAAAATACGCGCGGCGAAGCCGCGCTATATCACAGAAGGAGGCGCGCCGGCGTCAGCCGGCCAGCTGACTGGGGTACATCATAGAGCAATACGAAAAAAAACTTGGGAATGTTAAATTACGATTTATACGGTTTACTACGATGAACAAGTGCAAAGCTGAATTAGAATTAGAAAAACGCACTTCTCGGGGTCCTACAAAATGCTAAAAAGTTCCTGAAGTCGTTCTCGTTTTGTGGATGGAAAGCGTAGCGGCTCCTAAAATCAAAAAAAAAATTGAAGTAGAAGACAGTTATCTCTGCTGGTTACCTAGCATGTTTAACTCACGTTTGATATTTGGACGCCATTTTGTACACGGGCCCTTTCAGGAAGTGATCAGCGTACGCCTAGAAAATTGATTTTTATAGAACATAAACTGATATCGTCACAATCAGCTGGTGTGGTTTTGAGAGGGATGGAGTGGGCGTTCACTCAAAGTTCAAGATTAAAAAGGGATGGCATTTTTGGGCTGACGTTGAATACTCCGGCTCGTTTCACGATCGCTGATATCTAACTTTCCCTGCAAGCGCCATACGACCCCTCACCACAAACAAACAGCATTATAACTTTTTTTTTTTCAAATTTCAACAACCGGGAAAAATGTTCCCCGACACAGCAAGTTTCTTTCGGTGCGCAAATAGACCCCCCTGTGCCGAATTTTCAGCATCCCCCATGTCTATGCGCTCATGCCCTCTCGGGCACTTCAAAAATTGGCAGGGAGGCTCGGCCCTTTTCGGCTAACCGGCCCGCCTGGGTACCCACCGGTTCCCGCATTGCTAGCGTTCCGGCGCCTTTCCTTCTACGAGGAAGTTTGCAGGAGATACCTCTCGGCATCAACCGCATCCCAGTCCGGGAATGTGGGCCTTACGCGTTCACGCGAACGCGAACGGCGCCCCTGGCACGCCTCGCCGATCCCTGGATGAGACAGGAGCACATCACAATCGACTAGTTGACGGTGCCACACTTCCGATGCGTCGTATGACGCGCAGGTTTATTTAGTCGCGAGCGTGAGAGAAAATCATTTTAACTGCAAGAAAAATGACTGTTTGGAACCCAGGCAGATACTACCATAGGATTTTCTTATCCCA